CAGCGCTGCCTTATACCGTCTGCATACTTGCATATCAAAATATATTTTAAATGATTGAAAATATTTTTATAATTTACTCTAGAAGACCTTTCTATTCCAAGAAATTACAAAAGTTATACCTCCTACTAACAAAGCATTCAAATTCTGAGAACTTTTAAAGTAGAAAACAATCTGTATCTCAATCAGAAGAAATAACCACTTAAAAACATCTTTGCCATGCATTCTTATCTCTTCACTTTGCATATATGTGTACTTTAAAAAACAATGTTCAAATTCCCTTTTACTTTGAGCATTAAAACAAGTTTTCCTACTTTGCAGCTTGGATGCCTTTTAAAACATCATTAAATATTATTTGGAATTAGGATATGTTTTTAAGTTTTGCCACCTGTTTTTGCATTTCTAGAAATAATCATGCTTCTTTACAATGTACCTGCTACAACAGCCATATATGAAGAAGTGAAGCGAGATCACAGGTAATGCCACCTCCTGCAGACAAGGACTTTTAAAATGTGGGCTCCTCTTCAATCCTCTTCACTTGTTTCTGCTTCTCATCTGTTTGTGCCAGGTCTGCTCTCATAGCAGAAGCCCACCCTTCTTGGCTTGGCTGGGAGGTTCTACTTTGCTTCAGGCTCTCCCAGCTCCAATTTGGTGCACCTGAGACCTCCAGCAGCACACTGGGTCCAGCTATAAGCCTCCAGGAATTGTCCTGTCCTCTGCGCTCTGCTACCACAAAGGTCCCAGTTCTCAGCATGGGAACGCCACGTGCTCTGAGGGCTAGGAGAGAGAAAAATACCCACAGGCCTAGTACTTTGTTAGTGCCTTCCTCTGGTCCCGCCCACACTGGCAGAATACCAAGACCCCACCCCATGACTTCCTGTGCCTGGACTTCCTGGCAACTGCTGGCAGTCCTGCCTCCCCAATGACTGCTCCTACACCTGAACCCCACCTTTGTCTAGAGCTCCCCGTTGGCTTCTGGAGGAGGCTCTGAGCCCATCTTGGGGCCCGGCCCTTTAGCCTCCTCACAGAAGGGACCTTTCCAAACTAAAAGTCCTTTCAGAGAGGAAATCTTGGGACATTTTCCAGAAATTTCCTCATGATGGCAGTATTGCTGCAGAAATTCTATCTAACGCTGTCCCATGCCCTTTTCTCCCGCCCGTCCAGCATGAAAAAAATGTGACCAAGAGACACAGATGGCAAGAAATATGGCTGCCTTGCTTCTTGCCTAGTTTGCAGAAACCCACTCACACTATTGTGATTTTGCCTTTGGTTTCCATCTGCAATCAAACTGAGGACTAAACCTACACTCTCATCAGGTGTCTTTTTTGTTTAAGAACTCAGCTTCCACTTACCCAATCTTTGTGAACTCGGCTTTTTCTTCACTTAGCATTACATTGCCAGTGTTTTCTCTTGCTATCAAATTATCTTGGGATATCAAGAGGCAAATCTCAGGAATCCAGGCCTCAAAGGGAAAAGAAAATGGTTGCACCTAAGAGCTTGGAGAAGAGCAAATCTAGACACTTGTATACATGGTTCTTGACCTGACTCACTTCCCAGGTTCCCTGGGAATCCTCCATTTTCTGGCCTGGGTACTGGGTCTTGCGTGTATTTAGGGAGAAGCAACTATTTGTCTGGAACCCTAAAAGAAGTGTCTAGATAGTTCTCAAGAGTACGTGCTATACAATGTCCATGTGAAATGATACACATACTCAAATATGTATAAATTCCAATCAGAGAAGACATGATTTAGCCTCATGTTTCCATAATTTAACATTGGAACACAGTCACATTCTAATATCATTACAGGGCCTTCAGTGGCTTCCTATGACTTTATTGTGTATGTGTGTTTCACTGATTATGTCTGAAGGATCAACAATATAGCATTTTCTCATACATAATTATGACATGGTGCTTGAAAAGGATTCAGAAAATAACCATGTGCTGATCAAGAGTAAAGCTCTGCCATAAACAGTACTCGTTAGTACCGCTGATAAACGTTTGGATTATGTTTCACCATGCCCATACAAACTCGCTTCCCATATGCTCATGCACTCATTTCAGTACACACATACACACATGTATATTTAGCTTTATACACAAACATTAGTTTACACTAAAACAAGATTTATTAGTATTTCACGATTTGGTTTGTATTTTCATGAAAAATTTGCACGACCTGATTTTTAGTAAATAAAACATTGGCAAAGAGCTTCTTGATTGCCACATTCACCAAAAATGTTAGGATCTTAATGAAGAAATGTTCAGTTCATAAGACACTTATTTAACAACTGGAAATTTAATGCCTATGATGCCACCCCTCAGGTATTATTACTTGAAGAACTACTTTCTAATCTTTATTATGCTAACATGATACATATATATACATATGTATATTCTTAAACAAATATTGAATGACAACAATACATGTGTGCCTCAGAAATTAGTTTTTCTCCCTTCTCAAAAATTTAACCTACATTTTAATCTAAAATTTAATGTTAATATTTTATTATTAGAAACTATAACAGATTACATTACTATATAAATAAAGTTTGTCTCTGTATCACTCTAACATTGTGAATCCAGATGTGTATTCTATCAAAGATTCAAGGTGAAAGCATTCACATGTTTTATAGTCATCAATACTATTTCATCAATGTTTATTTATTTATTTATTAAAAATGAAGTCTTTCAAATTTTTCATGATAATGACAAACTGTCCAGGAAACAGAAGTGAAAATATGATCCAAGCCATTACATATGAATAAATCCCATTTTAATATAAACGTATTATTGTGTATGAAGCTAGATATCAGTTTACATTTGCATACATATATACACATATACATACACACACAAACTCCACAACATGCATATATGGACACAGAGGGTGAAGTTTGGGTGAAGTTTAACGGCATTCTTATTATAATAATCACAATGATTAAAATACATAATTTTTATACATATGTACATATATAGATGGCTATATATAAATGTACAAATACGTGTTTGTTTCTCTTTAAACATAACTGGATGCATACTGAAGTTAGTTCTGAACAAAATCATTATCTTATACAGTTTCTATATTCTCATACACATATACGTATCTGGAGAACTTGGAAATTCTTTATTCTCCTGTAGGAAGACCCTTATTATTCAAGAGATTTACAAAAGAAATACCTGATGTAGGCAAACTGTTCAAATTTTGAGAAGTCATAAAGCCAAAAATAATAGTAGTTCAATCCGAACAAGAATAAAGACTTTTAAAATGGCATTCTCACCTCTTCTTTACATAACACACTAATAACTTCTGAAAAATCAAATTCCTTCAGACCTCTGATGTTCAGATATGTTTTCTGCATTTATTGTAGCTAGACTACTTCCCAAACTTCATTAAATATTCTTTGAACTACTGGTTATTTTTTTAAAAATAGCCTCTTAAGTTTGGAATATCTCAAAATTAGACATGCTTATTAATAATAAGTCCAGGTATGACAGCCAATTTATGAAGAAGTCCAAGGAAGTCACAGCAATGCCACTTTCAACAAACAAGGACTTGTAATACGGTTGTATCTTCAGTCCTCCTGTTGTGTATGCTCAGATTCCTTAGTTCTCATGAGGTCAACACAGCACACTTGTTATCAATAATTTTTTCTGCACATGTTTGTCCTGGATTTGCTATTGAATTACAGCATTAATATAAATATTGTGAAGAATTTTGCAGGAGGCACACATCTCTGAATGACAACCTATCCCCAATCAACCTATCCCAAGGGAACTACTACAGACAGCTTAATCGGTCCATGTGATCAAATGCTGTAAACAAAATATACAACCATTCATTCATGAGAGCTAATATTATTTAACTAAATAAATATAGCCTACTGCTCATCAATAAACTCCCCTATTTGCTCTCACAGTGCTTAAAATACACAAACACTCAACCACAGATGAACACATCATTATTTATTTTCCTCAGCTATATCCTGGTTATACTGTAGGTGAAGTTTTGCATCCTTGCTTCTTTACTCAGCAATGGATAATGGATACTCATAAATTTCCTCTGCTGTTGATCAACTCTACTGATAATATGCATTCGGCAAAGAAATGATAAATTAATAAATTATAAAACAGGAAAGAGGATACTCTCGATGACATAAACACAATTGATATTTCAATCTATTGCATTCTGCCCTTTCTTCTATATGCATTGAATTTGTCTGCGTGTATGTGTGTTTCTGTGCTTCTGGACAGGAGTTTTTGGCTATAACTTTTAGCTGACATCACCTAAATATGGGATTTTCTTGTAGTTTGAAATTTATCCTTTTTCCACACTTTTCTCAAATCTTTTGTAGCAAGGCCACGTCAAATGTCATTAAATATACCTAAGAACACTGGATTTTATGTTAAGTAATAATTTGCCAAAAGCTTTTGTTTCTGTGAGCATTAAAAGTAGGACATTTAATCATTCCAGCATGTACATAGAACTATGTCTATTTTTACAGAAAAAGTAGCATCTTATAATAACTGATCCTTTATTACTTGCAGTTTCATTAAATTTATATTTGGACCATTTTTGCTTTCTTTTCTGTGAATGTCAAAAGTAGCCCTTGTTTGTTTTCAAAAGTTTAATCCTTAAGACATGCATAATTAAACCGTGTAGTTTCTACCTTGTACTATTTTCCCCCCAGGTTTATTGAGATGCACTTGACATATCATTTACCTTGTGTTCTTGAGAGGTAGATCCTATTATTAGTTTGCTTAGAAACTTTCCAGATACTTTGCTTTGTGCATATTCACTCTTTAGAATCCAAATGTGTTTATGGTTGTAGGTAATCATGAGAGAGAGAAAACAGTATTTCATTTTCTGTTTCTTTTTCGGAGTAAACTGAGAGAGTTTGATCTCGAAGGTCAAATAATTTGGTTTCCTCTAAGTCAATAGTGTGAGATAGAGAGATTGGAAGTTAGTCTCTATGAAGTCTAAGAAAGATTCCCTTATGTGTTTGTAGAAGTATGTGTGTGTATGCAATTTAAAGTTTTAGATGTACATAGAAGCATGAAAATGTGACCCATAACCAAGAGAAAAATTAGTCAATAGAACCTGGCCCAGATATAACTGGATAAATTGAATGAACAAACAAGGATTATAAAAGAGTTCTTATAAATACATTCAAAGTTATGGAAAATCTGAGCATACAAAGAGAGCAAAACAAAAAATTAAATTAAAAAACAGAAACTAAACATCAGAACCAAATGGAAATTCTAAAACTGAAAAATTATATGAAATGAAATGAAAAATTCACCAGATGCTGAATAGCATATTCAAGACTGCAGCACAACTAACTGGACTTCAATGAAAAAAAATTAATTAAAATTATGGCTAATGCAAAAAACTGCAGGAAAAATATCAGTGAATATGAAACATAACAATAATCACCCAAAATTAAGCACAAAGATAAATAAGACTAAAAGATGGAAAGAGGCACAGTGACCTTTGGAACAACATCAAACTAATATTTACGTACTTTGAGTTCATGAAGAAAAGAGAGAAATTGCAAGAGTGAAGGGCAGAACGTATTTGCAGAAATAAAAGTAAGCCATTTGTCAGATTAAATAAAAATTATAAATGTTCTGAGTGAGGAAGATCAAATAACCCAAATAACCCAAAGAAAACCAAAATAAGGAAAATAAAATCAAATTTCTAAGTATCGCTGATAAAAAGAAAATCTTAACAGCAGGCTGAGGAAAGACTGGTTACATAGAGGAGAACAGCTATAAGAATGATGGATGACTTCTCATTAAATTTGATGCAAAGTATTCAAAGGATTACCACCCATAAATTACTGTTAGAAAAATCTGTCAATCTAAAATTTTCTATCCAGAAAATGCAGCCTTCAAAAATTAAGGCAAAATAAAGATATCTTGAGGCAAACAGAAGCTGATAGAATTGGTTATACCAGCAGATCTGCTCAAATATAAGTGTTAAAGAAAGTTCTTCAAGCTGAATTTTAATGATGACATATGGAAACTCCAGGCTGTAAGAGAGGAAGATTGATGGAAATAGTAAATATATGGGCAAATATAAAACAGGCCTTATATTTTCTTAATTTCTTTAAAGGAAATTGACTACATAAAATAAAAATAATAACAATGTATTGTGGTATTTAAAACATGTAGCAGTAAAATATTTGTCAATAAAACCAGAAGATTTGAGTAGGGAATTACCCTCTTGTAACTTTATTGCATTATTTTATATCTAAACTAGTATAATAGTATTTAAGAGTACTTTTATATTTTAAATTCCAGCATTGACCACAAATAGTGGTATATCTAATAAGAAAGGAAATAAAATGGTATTTTTAAAAGCACACAAGTAATTCCAAAGATGACACAAAAGGAGCAAAAAGGAAGAAAGATCATATTAGACTAAATGAGAAGAGCAAAATGGTAGATATAAACCCAACCATACGAATATTAAATATAAATGGACTAAACTCCAATTAAAAGGCAGAATTTGCCAGTATGGATAAGTAAGGAATACTCACCTATATGATGTTTAATGTATATTACAATCACAGAACATAGACTAAAATTAAACAGATGGAAAAGTTACATTACATAAACACAAATCATAAGAAAACTAAAGTAGCTATGGGCATACCTCATTTTATTGTGCTTCACTTCATTGGACTTTACAGATAAAGTGGTTTTTTTTTTTAACAAATTGTAAGGTATTTTTTTTAACAGTGCCTGATTTATTAGCATCAAAAACAAAAACAAAACCCCCTAAACCAGTTCTTATATACAAAACAAGCTGATTTTTGTTTTCAAGTGTTAAAAGCACTCCTTAAAAATTAAATAAAATTTAAAGCATGGATTAATGGATTGTTCTTCCTGGAAGCACTTAAGTGAATGAATATTCGACAATGGAGATATTAAATGCACACCATGCAGGCACTGGACGGTCACAGAGGCCGCAGGGACAACCCTGCGTTGTCAAATGGTACACTTTTTAAGCAATAAAATATTTTAAAATTAAGGTATGCACATTTTTTAGACATAATGCTATTGCACAATTAGACTAGAGTATAGTGTAAACAAAACTTCTGTGAGCACTGGAAAACCAAAAATTTGTGTGACTTGTTTATTCTGATACTTGTTTTATTGCAGTGGTTTGGAACGAAACCCATATCTCCAAGGTCTGCCTGTATGTAATTGTTATGAAAGTAGATTTTTAAGACAAAACGTATTATCAGAGGGGAAGAGGGATATTTCATAATAATAAAAGTTTAATTTGTCAAAAAAATAGAACACTGTATAACATATGTGACTAAAACAATTTCAAAAATTAACCAAATACTGACAGAACCAAAGGAAGAAATGTAGAGAACAACAATTATACTTGGCAATTTCATAAGTCTCAGTAATTGTAAGAGCAAGTGGACAGAAAATCAGTAAGGATAGAAGAGACTTGAACAATAGTAAGAACCTAATCAATATAATTGACTTATGGAAACACTCCACACAACAATGGAAAAATATATGTTCTCTTTAAATAGACATGGAATAATCACCAATGAAGACTATATGCTTGGGAATAAAAACCAGTGTCAACAAATTTTGAAAGGATTGAAATTATTCAGAATATGTTTTCTGACCATAACAAAAAGAAGAGAAATAAAAATACCAAAGATATTTGGAAAATCTCCAAATATTTTGAAATTAGACAACACACTTGTAAGTAACTCATGGATTTTCAAAAAAGAAATATAATAAGAATTTTTAAATATTTTGAACTGGAAGTAATAAAAATATGCCAAAATCTGTGAGATATAGGTTAAACAATACATAGATACAAGTATAAAGCTCTAAAATGACTGTATTAGGAAAAAAAGTATGTTTAAAAACCATTCATTGAAGCATCCACCTTAGAGAGCTCAAAAAGCAAGAGCAAATTCAGCCCAATGTAAGCAGAAGAAAAGAAATAATAAATATATAAGAGCAAAAATGAGTAAATTAGAAAAAGAGTAAACAATTGGAAAAAAAAGTAATGAAATAACTATGTGTCCTTAAGTTTTCATACTCTACCTAGAGTTAAAGGGTTACCACTTCATGCAAAATATGGAATCCCTACAGCAATAATGGTCCACTTACCATTCCCTGCTGTCCTTTATGCTATAGTTGTCATATGCAGTTCATCTATATAAATTATAAACTCCACAAAATAATGTTATAATATTTGCTTTAATAATTTATATGTATTTTAAAGGAACTAAGTGGAAATAGTCGTTCCTCGGTATCAACAGGGTATTGGTTCCAGGACCATCCCCTACAGATACCAATATCTGAGGATGCTTAAGTCCCTTATATAAAATAGTGTAGTATTTGCATATAACCTACACACATCCTCCCGTACACCTTAAATCATCTCTAGATTACTTATAATACATAATATAACTTAAATGCTATGTAAGTAATTGCAATACAATGTAAATGCTATGTAAATAGTTAACGGCACACAGCAAATGCAAGCTATGCTTTTTGGAACTTTCTGGAATTTTTTATTTTTCAAATATTTTCAATTCACGGTTGGTTGAGTCTGCAGATGCAGAACCCATGGATACAGAGTACTTAGTGTATAGTCTTTTGTATTTACCTAGATATTCAACATTTCTGATGTTCTTTGTTGGCTCCTGGAGATGTCTACTACTCTCTGGTGTCACTTCTCTTCAGCTTGAAGAATGTCCTACAGCATTTATTTTAGTGTATGTCTGCTGGTAACAAAGAATTTTAGTTTTATTTTGTCTGAAAACATTTCACTTTCATCTGTGAAGGATATTTTCAGTGGATACAGAATTCTGGGTTGCTTTTTTTTCCTGTCAGCACTTTCAAGAGGATGTCCCATGTGTACCTAAAACTAATATAATATTGTAAACCAACTATACTTCAATTTTTAAAAAATGAAATCACAAGAAAGAGGATGTTCCATTGTCTTCTGCTTTCCATGTTTACTGATGAGAAATCCTAGCTATCTGAATTAGACATGTGACATATGATAGTAGTAGCATTTCAAGTCTATGGGGAAACGACTGCCTTTTCAATAAGTGGTCTTGGAACTATTGGGTATCCATGTGTACAAGTGAAACTTTGCTCCTCCCTCACACTACATACAAAACTTGATTCCATTGTCCCTTTTCAGGTAGTCAGAGACGGCAAATTCATCACAAGTCTGTACCGGTACTATGGAAAGCCCAAGGAATGGTGGAGGGCTTTGAGGGCTTTGGGAGGTGAGACAGACTCTCTAAACAAGGGTTGGAAAACTATGGTTTGCAGAATAAATCTGGCCATTGATCTGTATTTGTAAGGCCTAAAAGCTAAGAAAAGTTTTTACATTCTCAAAGAGTTGTTAGAAAAAAATTAAGAATATACGACAGAGACCATAAATGGCCTGCAAAGCTTAAATTGGTCACTATCTGGCCCTTTGCAGAAAGTTTGCTGTCCTCTTCATCTATGACTAAAGATATCTTCACCCACATTATTTCCTAGTTAAAGAAAGCATTTTCTTAGAAACCACAGTGTGGTCATACGTGCACTTCCTCTTCACAGGGATGGCATCACTAAAGTGATCCGATAATGATCTAGACTAGTATTTGTGTTAGGTCAGGCCCCAGAAGTATATTAGAATGAATGACTTCCACATACAAGTATCAACCTTATCTATGATATGCTCTTACACAAAACCAGCAGAAATCATTCCTGAGTGAAAGGCAGAGCCCTAGTGAATGGGGAGGTAGGAGGTCACCATTTCTCAAAAGCCTCTCAGACCACTGTCACACAGAATCAAGACGGCACCTCGTGGAGCTCTATTTTTTATCTTCCGGTCTAAAGGCAGCATGCTGAGAAGAGAGGTTATCAAGGCAGAATCTGAGAGACCACTGGGACCTTGGATTAGGGACTGTCTAGGAGTCAAAAAGAAGCTGGGAACCACAGAAACAGGAGAATGATTTTTAGAACTGTTAGGTTCTTTTAAATCTGTTCCTGCAAGTGTTGGCCCTGCTATGCCCTGAATGCTTCCCAGCATGGTCAATAGTTGTATCCTTAAAATGACAATTATCTGGGTGCTGGTCATCTGGGCTCCCAGGGAAGGGACGAGGAGAATGGCTATTGTACCTCCCTCTGCAGCCAAGTTTTGGAAGACAAGGATGAAGAACCGCAAAGGACAGTTCTAAATTGCAGTTACAGGACAGATAAGAGTGAAGAGAGAGGAAGAAAGAGATGAATTTCCCTGCATACACACATACACACATACACACACACATTCATTAACACCTCTAACCTCATC